TTATTGTAACCTGAAAATTTCCCCAGTTGACAGTGGACACAAATAGGGGGTATTCAAAGTTTTAATTCAGGATTCAGTGGGGTGTCCACACTAGTTGATGTGGTACCTACTATGTTTTCCCAATAAATATATCACATTTAAGAAGATTTCAGTACAGCCCTGGCCAGTTTGGCTCAGCGGTTAGGGCATTGGCCTGCGGTCCAGAGAGACCCGGGTTCGGTTCCCGCAAAGGGCACGTACCTCGTAGAGGTTTGTCCCCGGCCCTGGCTGGGTCGTGCGGGTGGCAGCCATTCGATGTGTCCCTTTCGCATCAATGTTTCTCTCTCTGTCTCTCTTCCTCTCTCTCCTTCCTGCTCTATGGAAAAATGTCCTCGGGTGAGGATAAAAAAAAAAGAGGAGTTCAGTACAAAGTACTTCCGGAGCCTCCAGGAGGTGAACGACATGTTTATACACAGCTTTGCTTCTCCTGGGCACCAGGACTGCCAGAGCACCCGGCTGCTGCCTCGTCAAAACTGGGGAAAACTTTACGACACAGTAAGGACAACAGGCTAGAGGATTCTCTTCTGTTATGATTGTCTTTGCTATAGGAGACCCAAAATAGGGCTGTTTGTGCTCTGACGTTTTAGTGGAAACACGGTTTTGCATTTTCACTTGCAGGCCGCCCTCACAGCCCCTCTGCTCTCGGTGGTCAAAGGCTGCTCTGGGCTCCTCCCTCCTGGGAAGTCCTCCCACAAGGCTCCTCAGGCCCAGAGGACCACTGGTGGGCCCAGAATTTCCATCCCCCTTGACTCATGACGGGACACCAATCACCTCTCTCACTGTCTCACCTCCTTCGTGAACTGTTAACTTGCCTACTTCCATCCACTGCCATCACTCTGTTGTCTGAACTCCACATTCTGGAGGAACTACAGACATTTACATCTTTTTAGTCTGATATTCTATATCCCACACAGCACGACTCTAAGCTTACAGAGGACAAGCCTCTCCCATTAAAATCTTCATGTCTTCTTCCACCACACTAGCTGAGGGTTCCGTCAATATTTGCTTGACTGAATGTGACACATAAAGGTGGCTTCTTTCAGTTAATGAGAAACAACCTCTCTTCCCTCCCAAAATGGAAAACAGCAGACTTCTAAACAAGGAGCCATATATCCCAGCTTCCCTCTTCCTTTGTTTGAACATGGAGGTGAAATCAAATATTTGTAAAACAGAACAAAACAAAATGTCAACCATTCAAAAGCTCTCATATGCCTTATTTATTGGATTTCCGAATTCGTTGCTCATAGACCACGTCTTTACGTGCATTTGTCCTGCAGACACTTGCTGTAGGCAGCGTTTCACACGCTCAGGTTCACCTGGGCCAGTGGATGGTGTTCGCTGAACAAGGGGCCAAGGTTGGATGGTTGGCTTTCGCCGGGGTCACTGCTTCACACGGCAAGAAACTCTTCCACAGGCAAAGCCAGGCCCCACTTAACCCCTGGCCTCCCACCCTCTAATCAACCATCGACTGAAATACTCACTTGACTGGAAGGAAGATTGCATAATTTCCAGCAAAATGTTGTGCCTGAATCTTGTATAGTTTGTTCCTACCGACACCATTTTCTTTAACAATGAAGAGATACTCATCTCATTTAAGTATCAGTGGGAATAATCAGAACATACTATGATATTGAAGAATATAAGAAAATAAAGTCTGAATGAAAGATGTGTCTTACTAAATATGTATTAGGTACTCACTGTATGTGCTAAGTACCCATTATATATATCACACTGAGTAATGACTTAAGAAGCAGTGATTAAAAAGTGGTAGCAGAGGATGAAAAGCTGGAAGGAACCTAACCTGTCAGATTTCTTTTAGAGGAAAGGAAACTGAGGTCCAGAGAATGTGTTCCGCCTCAAGCAATGAAACAAGTTAGAGGCAGAGTGGGAGTCAGAGCCCTAGGGAGGCAGGCAAAATCAAAACAGCAACTGTAAAATATTGTGCAACCACAGATTTAAGACATATTTGGAAACTGTCCAATTTCAAAGAATGCTGTTAGTAATCTTCATTTAACTAGTCATTTTTTTCTATCTTTTAGGGGTTTTTTTATCCTTATTTGAGGATATTTTTTCCACTGCTCCTTAGAGAGAGTAGAAGAGAGGGAGGGAGGGAGGGAGGGAGGGAGGGAGGGAGGAAGGGAAGAAGAGAGAGAAAGAGAGAGAGAAACATCAATGTGAGAGAGACACATCAGATTAGTTGTCTCCCACATGCACCCCGACCAGAGCTGGGGATGAACCTGCAACTCAGGTCCGTGCCCTTGACTGAGAATCAAACCCACAACTCTTTGGTCCACGGGCTGACGTTCTAACTGCTGAGCTACACCAGCCAGGGCTCTATCTTTAAAATTTTAATACTATCAGTTTTTATTGTTGTCTTGGCTTTTATTACTTTCATTATTAGAAGTTTTATTTGAGGTAGAAACCTTCACTAAAGTTAATAACATCACCAAAGAAACCAGGTGAATTAGAACTGGAGTCCACACCACATGGAAAGATTTAACTTTCTGTGGTATATATGAAAATTGAGACTTGAAGAAAAATAATAGATAGGAATTTTCCTCAATTATAAAAGTAACAGACTATTAGAGAAAGTTTGGGGGGAAAAGAAAGGTGGTTTCACTCAAAGGGGTCCAGCATTTGCCACTATGGCATAAAAATTATTTTGAGCAGAAGGCATTTGAGGTCCCAGAGAAATTCAATGGTCATAAATCCCCTTCCCAGGGGCAACCAGGGAAGACTGGCTCTTATCATCAGAGGTAAGACACACCACATCTAAACAGACATGTCACTCGCCCATCTATTTTCCTAAGGACCCCTTTAACTTATTATTTTTTAAAATATATTTTAATTGAGAAAGAGGAAGGGAGAGAGAGATAGAAACATCAATGTAAGAGAGAAACATCAATCCACTCTCTTCTGCACACCCCCTACTGGAGATAGAGCCTGAAACCCAGGCATGTGCCTGACTGGGAATCGAACCAGGACCTCTCAGTCCATGGGACAATGCTCAATCCACTGAGGCACACCGATCAGGCCCATTTAACTTATTAAAAAGTTATTTGTGCCCTGGCTAGTTTGGCTCAGCGGTTGAGCATCAGCCTGTGGACCAGAGAGTCCCGGGTTCAGTTCCTGCTAGGGGCACGTACCACCAAAAAAAAATTGAAAAGTAATTTGTTTTCCCATAAATTCTTTTCTCCTCCTCCCCTTTTTTTCTTAAGATGTCACTTGTATTCCTGTAAGTGCCCTTTCCTCCCTTCTTTTCCACTATTAAGATGATTTATAAGCCCCAAATTCTACCCTCCCTTTGAGTCACATTTTTTGTGAACTCCTCTATGTACATTAATAAAAATACGTGATTAAATTTTTGTGTTTTCTCTTATTAAACTGTATTTTGTCACTTTAATTCACAGGACCTCAGGAACTGCACCTAAGAGGATAGGGGGAAAGTTCTTCCTTCCTGATACACTATCAGCACACCATCAGCTCAACAGAACTATTTTCAATTTTGTATATTTTCTACAATTTTTAACTGCATTTATTTTCACATCATTATAATCACTACTAACATTATAACACAGGCACCCATCCACGATGCTACATAACCCTCCAAATTATAATTTCCTGATAAGTGCAACATACTTCATTGAGATGATACATTAGAAGTTCCTTAACCAGCCTTCAACTGTTGGGTATTTTGATTGCTTCTGATTTTTTAAAGTTAAAAACAATTGGGTGGGGGGGCTTTTCTCCGTTTAAAATTACTTCTGTAAATTAGCTCCCAATGCTGTGGCCTTGCAAAGGGAATGCTGGGTTACATATCTATCTCAGGGAGAGGACAATTAGCAGCAAAGTAACATAGAAAATGTATGGCATTCTTTCATAAACTAAATAAGTCTCAGGTAAAATCATAAATAAAGGCCACGAAGAAACCAGCACCATGCATGTGTCTGGAAGATGTGTAAACATGATGAGAATTATTCAGTAAGAGGCACTACTTGAACTAGGTAATTTGAAACCCAGAGAAAGGTCCCTAGGCCTTTTTTTCCACAAGACAAACAGACAAAAAAAACAGTAGAAGATTAAATTAGCAACAAGTTTGTGGAAACTGGGATGAATGAGTTTGTTTTAAGTAAAGGGCCAATTTAAGAGAGTAATTGCTGATTAAAGTTCTGTTACCAAACCTTCCTTCGGTTTTCATTAGCTTTCATTGGAAGGAAATGATAAAACTATTAGACAAAAAGCAATTGTTGCTCCCAGTGATCTCACTACCACAGGAACAATTGAGTTAGCTGTACCTTCCCTCCCAGCTACTTCCCTGAATGTAGCCATTTGTCCTTCATTAGGAGGGCCCGGGTACCCACTATTCTAACAGGCAATTGATTAGGACATTTCAAATAGCAACAACAAAGAAAAGTTTGCTTTGAAAAACCACCAGCTATTCATCTTAAAAAGAGAGGAGGGAAAAAACACAACCAAACTACATTAAACTCAATTGAAAACTTTTTTTCTTACCTTGTAATCTAAGGAGGGCAAAATCAATGTTCATCTCAGAGTACCATTTTCTCCTATTAGATTTCTCCACAGTGGGCTTTCCAGAAATGATGCTTGATTATTTCTGAGTCACAACTACTTAAAATCCACATGGGTGAGCCTTACTTTATAGGCAAAAGCTGAGGAAATTACAGAAAGTTCTTTGTACCCTCATGTTCTCTCTTTCAGTATTTTAGGTTTAATCAGCAGCTGTAGCAAAGCCTGCTATGCTTTTCCCTCAACACTTTTGACAGGACCAAAAATATGAACTTTCACATAAAGCTTTTCATAAACGATCGGGAGTCCTTTTCCCTTTTTGCCAGCTGGTAGTTAGTCAAAATACTGTTTTGGAAATAAATTTGTCTGCAGGAATCCTCATCAGGTCAGCTGCAAATGTGTCTGTTTGAGAAAAACAAACAAGAAGCACTTACCAGTTAGTTTTCTGTGAGGAGAGAAGCTATTGTGATGCCTGGGTGTAACCTCCCAGCTGCAGAATGAAATGCTGAGTGGTTTTCGGAACAGCTCCGTTGAACACTCTCTTCTCCTGCTTCCTCGTCTGGCTCTCCTCTGGCTTTTGAAATGACACTGTAGAGGAGAATGATGTTGGGTTTCCTTTGAACGTGGTTCTTCCCTTCCTCCACCACCCTCCATAAAAATTCACCATGGATTCCGGGGGCAAAGTGAGCCATGAGCATACTGCACACATTAATTCTTTGGCTCAGCGTGTTTGTATGTGTGTAACCGAGATTTGTTTTTGTGAATGGAAACCCTTGCTATTGGCCGCAGTGCCAGGCTGAGTAACAGAGGTGGGGAGGCCCTCACTGCGCCTTTGTTTGGGTAGGCTTTTGCTTATGAAAAGTCAAATTAAATCTCATTCCAACAACGGAATGAAAAGAACCTTAGCGATGGCCAAGGAGCCCTCTCCAAATGCCTTGGGTTTCGGTGCGTTTCTGAGAAGCGCAGAACTGGAATCACACTAGTAGTTAGGTGTGCATTTTACTTTTTCTTTCTTTACTGAGGCGGGTTGAGAGTCGAGGTTGACTTTTTATCTCTCATCTCACCTGTGGGTCCAGCGAACATGGCCCCATCTGAAGCAGGATTCATAACTCAGGAATTTGCAGGGTGAGCCTAGCGAGGCTGAGGTGAGGGCGCCTTGATGTGACCGCTTCCGTCTGTCTGCAGGGCTAACTTGATTATTTGGGGAAGATCTAACATCAGCTCGACCATGTGATATTGGAAATCGAACGTTATTAGGTCCTGAAACATTGTTAGGCTATCTAATTGAACAGCGTTTGAGGAGCACACGATCTTATATCTGACTCTGAAAGACTGCCCCGGAGCGCCGGGTGCCACCCCAAATGTGCCTCTTTGGCATAAGCATTATCTCGAGCCGATTATGTTTAAAGAAACTGCAGCCACAGAAGAAACTCTGAGCACAGAACACAAGTTACCCTTTTGTAAGGGAAATCTACATTTATACGAGACATTTACATGAGAAAGGGGGCCTGTATCTGGAAGGGAGCTGGAGATAATTTCTTCATCTGAGAAGTTTATCTGCCTGCCAGGACAGCTTTCGTTTACCAAACATTTCCTCTTCTCACCTTCCAATGGATTGTTCCCCCCTAAATCCCAGACCCCCAATCCTTTCCTCACCTCAGGATCCCATATAACCCTTAGTCTTCTGGCCACCATTTGAGGCTCATATCTTCACGGGCCTCCTGAACGAACATACGAACATACGTAATTCAAATTGTGTGTGTGTGTGTGTGTGTGTGTGTGTGTGTGTGTGTATGTTTCCTTCCATTAATGTCTTTTTACACAGGGTCTTCGCCACTGACATGGGTGCTCAAACTTCAGCAGGAACAGCTATAAAGTACTCGGGCTGCCTGGGGCACAGGAACTATGCTGGCTCTTCAAAGGCCATCTTCTCAAACCATCTCTGTGGTGTCCAGACAAGTAGAACTCCTTCCCCCTCCCCACTTGAAACCCTCAGTCAGATGTGACAGGGCTGGTGCTCAGGAGAGTTCATTCTTGTCATCTCTTTTGCCATCACCCTCCGAGGAGTAGGAATGCCACATTAGCCTTTCTTCATAGAAGGATATGACAACTTAGGGACACTTGACATTGGCTTCCTTGGCAAGGCCCAGGTCAGCCTTTATCCATTTCATCAGGAACACGAGTTCTCCACTGGAGTCTGTAGTTCCAGTCATCCACTCCGGCTCCAAACCCTGGGCCAAGCCTCCGGGCCTTTCTGACTCTTCTTTCTTCTTCTTTGGTTTGCTCTCTTCTCCCCTAGCTTCAGAATCTGAGTCGAATTTGTGCGCATCTGCCTCTGATTTATCTGTCCCATGTGCTGTTTTCTGTGACTGTAGAAACTCAGCAGCAAGGTCGGGCAATTCAGGTTCCATTCCTAGAAATCTTAGTGTCTAAATTTGTCTTGCTGAAATGGTAGACCACTGGGGATGGACCATCACCTTGGATGGAAGTCTAGCCTGTCTGTTGCCTTTCTGCATCTAAGATAACATACCTTTTGAATGTCGACGTAATTTCCGTTTCCAGACCCCTCAGCTCACGCCCATGGCACCGGAGCCTGAGATCACACAGAACCCCTAACTGTGACCTTCTTGCCTGAATACCATCTCTACGTGCTGTAAATGTTAATTATTAACTATTCTGTACCCACCAGTGCAAAAGGAGTACGCGTCTTTGTTTTACTTTTTATCTGGTTCTAGAGATCCTCCCCTTTGCTGTCTCCTGACCCCTTCATCTACCACCAGTAGATTTCATGTAACCCTCCTTAACATCTCTTTTGATTCCAATGTATAAAATAAACTGTAAAACTCCCATTCTCTGGAGTATTTTCTCAATCTGTGGAGATTCTGCTTCCCAGATTTGGACCTTTCTTACATCAACAATATTTATTTTTGTTAACAATCATTTCCAATGCTTCTGTTGTTTGTACAAAAAGAAAAAAATTAGCCCTGAACATAATCACTGGAAAAGAGATGGTATGCAAATGGACAATTTTTAAGTAAAAGAAATGGATTTGTGAAAAATAGAGAGACTTCGCTCCTTTTCCATTTGTTTCTTCTTGTCACACAGGGCGGTGGCTGTCTCCGTGTGTAAGTGCCCTGCGTGGGCCTGATTCCTCAGGGTAGGCAGGGATGGAGATTAGAATCTGGGGCCCTGGCTGGGTTGAACAGTGGGGCTGGAGCTATGCAAAGCTTTTCATGGGTCCTGAAATGGGATTCACTGTCGCAGTCTTGGTGGCTCTGGGAGGTCACATGGAGGAACCATGCCAACCTGGCCATAAAGGGCAGCATTCTTGCCTCTTAAACCAGAGAATTCTTAAAGGCCAGTGAGGACAAAGCCTTTTCCACATGCTTGCATTTAATTCTGTATGGCCCCTGCAGGAACTGAGCCTTGAGGATGCTGAGTAAATATGTGAGAGGATTTAGCTCTACATCTTTTTAATTAAGATACACAAAGCTCTAATTACCTGTAGAAATGTGGGGAACGGCTTTTATTGTTATCTCTAATTTGAATAAACCTTCCCTTTTAATATGCCAAATGACAAATCAAATGAGGTCCAAATAGGAGGATTTAGCCTGGTTTTCTTAACTAAATCTCAGATGCTGGAAGCTTTTGGAAGGCAAAGCAAACACTCACCTCTGCAAAGGTGCCTGGAGGGGCAGCCGCAGGGAGGACGTGGGCAGAGGAGTTCTTTTCTCTGAATCGTTGTGGTTAATAGTTGCTCTGGGAGAACTTGTTACAGTGACCCTCAGTCATAGAAAAAGCATTTCCTCTTTTTGTAATCAAGGGAGGCCAATAATCTCTTAATTTACTGCCCTAGAAAAAGAAATGCAGTTTGCCAATGGTTAAATAAATCTGGTGTGTATCATTTAGTCGACAGGCATCTGGGTGACACCACCCTTGGCCTTGACTCAAGAGAAAGGATTGTTCACAGTCAGATGTGACAGGGCTGAGATTGCTCTGGGAATTCGGGCCGCTCCCAACTATTTACTCTAATTATACTACTTTTCTTGTTAAACTGCAGATTATGGATATGATGTAAGTGTATCTGGGTTTTCCTAAAATGTCACATTTTGAGACAGAAATAGGATCGGAGAAGAAAGTGCATTTTCTCAACTCCTTTAACTGGTTCAAGCACTACTTGCATTTTTCATTAGGAAAGTGGTAGCCTGGGGCACGCTGCAGCAGCCGATGTATTTTGTTTGTCCTGCGCAGTGTTTTCTAAAGTTTGAATTAATTTGTCATTTAAAAGTCAGGAGGTCTTACATAGCTATCCAGAATATCCGCTCCTCCTAAAAAAACTGCCAGATCTGATACCAGCAGGCCTGCGTGCCACAGGGATGCCACTGGAGTGGCTGAGGGCTGGCTGCGCCCAGTACTACCTGACCACCTCTGGTGGGCATGGCCTTCCAGTTCCACACCTTTCTCCCTGCCCTGTCATCCACCCACAGCATCTATCTGGACCCTCCAGGATTCTGGACTTTCAATCCTTGTGTCCCTTTCAATTGTTTTCCTGTTGAGTTTCTTCAGTTTAGGAAAATTGAGCACACAAAAAGCTAAGTCATCAGGCAATCATTTGTATTGCATAACACATTTTAGGTTTGTTTATTTAAAAAATATGATTCCCTACCCAGCCCGTGTGGCTCAGTGGATTGATGGTTGTCCCATGAACTGAGAGGTCCCGGTTTGATTCCGGGTCAGGGCACATGCCTGGGTTTTGGGCTCGATCCCCAGTAGGGGACATGCAGGAGGCAGCCGATTGATGTTTCTCTCTCTAAAAAAAAAATCAATAAAAGCATATTTTATTTTATTTTATTTTATTTATTTATTTATTTTTTTATCCTCACCCGAGGATATTTTTCCATTTTTTGTACAGATAGAATGGGAGGGAGAGAGAGGAAGGGAGAGAGAGAGAAACATCGACGTGAAGGGACACATCGAGTGGCTGCCACCCGCACGACCAACCAGGGCCGGGGACAAACTGCAACCGAAGTACGTGCCCTTAGCGGGAACCGAACCCGGGTCTCTCCAGACCGCAGGCTGACGCTCTAACCGCTGAGCCAAACTGGCCAGGGCAATAAAAGCATATTTTAAAAAATATGAATCCCCTAGTAAAATCTGAATGCATGCATTATATAATATGACTAAATTGACAAAACCAACTTAACCAGCTTAACTGTGGAACAGTAGTGTGCCAGTGGAGGTGCAGTGAGTAGTGATCTGCCCAGTGCAGGTAGTAAGAAAGTGCACTGTCTGTAGGGAATTTAAAAACAATAATAAAACCAAATAAAGCCCTTCTGCTTTTATGTGTCAGCAATTCTACACAAGATCAGTGATGAAATACTCCTCCTCTCAAAAACATCTTCTGTTGGTTTAGCCCTGGCTGAGAGTTTATGACCTGCTTCAGTTAGTTAAGGCATGGTCCCCACACACTAAGGTTGTGGGTTTGATCCATTAGGGCACATACAGGAATCACCCAATGAATGCATAAATAAG